ATTCAAAAAACATATGTGTGCAACCACCTGCTGTGAATGATTCCCCATTAACTTACAGTGCAGTAAATCTAAAGTTAATTTAAATGTGCTTGAAATTAGGCAGGTACTTAGAAAATTTGCTGCCCTGGGGTTCAAATCATTCTGAAACGGGGTGGAAAACCAAAGGAAGAAAGTTATCAAAACCAAACAGATTGCAGACATTCAGCTGACTATTTTGGTCAGTATTTGCATTGTTTGAAAGATAACTGTGAAGCATCTCTTGGTTATCCACAAGGTTCCCATCGGGTTGTTTAGCAGTGAAATCTGAAACACTGTTTGAACTCCACATGATTTCTAGTAGTTCAAGTAGGTTTGTTAATTGAAAAAGAGGTCTAAGTCCCTATTCTCCCAAAAAACAGAGACTATGTTTAGAGAGGAGACATTGCTTTATTCTGGCCAGGGCGCACGGTGGACTATTTCCACAAATGCACACCCCATGTCGGTTTCCTGGTCGTATTTATACACAAAAGTTATAAGGTAGCACCCTCCCAGTTACAATGATTGGTTAGTAATTTACATGTAATTATATTTGCTGTGTCATTCTCTTCAACCACTGCGCCTGTGCAAGGGAAGGGTCTCTACCTGGGCAAGGGTCTTCTTAACCTATGGGTGTGATTTTTGGTATCATAATAAAGGTAGTTCAGCTTAGGACACTCAGAATTTTCACTTTTCTGCCAAGTTGCCTAGACTCTTCAAAACATGGTAGATTAGTAGTATCTTCAAGGTTTGTGTGCTCATCTGCTTCAGGATGTTTCACTTCAAACAGTAACAACAATACTTGCTTTCCTTGATTAGGAGTTCTTTCTCATACGGCTCAAAGATAGAATCCTCATTATCCATGAGAACGTCTCAAAAACGTTCCTCTACTAATTAGCCCAGATACTTGTGAGGAAAACATTCCCAAGGCCGACCATCTGGCCAAGTACATAACAGAATGGTCGTACGCAAGACCCTGTATCCGAAGTTCAGCTAATGCCAATAGTTAACAGGCCTAACTAACTTTAATACTAACAAAAATGGCTAAGATTCTAACTGTACGACAACAAGTTGGTTTTGTTTCTGTGCGAGGAGACGTTCTAGTCCAAAGACATTGCATGGAAAAACTGTCAGGTCACCAATAAAAGATAAAAAGCCCATTATTTCATAACCAACTCCGTTGGACTGGTTCAGGAATAGCTTCAAACTGCCGAGATGCAATCAGCAGCCAGGTGACTTGCGCGATGGTTTAAAAAATAAGCATCTAATGCTTATGTTGAATATCGAAACCGCCCTGTGTTTCACGCAGCACAGGCACAGCGGGGTCCAGCGCTTCGGGAGCGCTCCGGCACATAAATGCCGACTCAGGTTTTCGGGACAAACACAGAGCTGTGGGGCTGGGCTGATGGCGGTGGGGAAACGTGTCGCCCTCGGTGACGGCTGTGGCTAGGCCCGGCGGGGGGAGGTGAGGGGCCGGGCTGGGCAGGAGG